TAGAGGAGGAGTCATTAAGCTCAAGAATCTCCTCAGTGGTTTGTCTATTACAATGCCTGTGATTGGGTGTCTGAACTCTGACTGATACTAGTATTTTCAACATCTGCTGTTGCCAGTACCTTAAGGCTCTGGGGCTCCTGTGTTAGATGCTCCAAGCAATTGAAGCCTTGATGTCACAATATTAGTTTTTCTGTTCATGATATTGTGTTGGTTGTGCTGGGGATTGGGTCCTAGTGTTTGTCAGCTTGTTCATTTCTTCAGAGGTGAATCTACCATATCCTTATGAACCACAGGCATATTGGCTTTATTGGTATCTCAAGATTCATTTATGCTCATCTGGAAGGGGGGAAGAAAGAAGGTCTCCTTCACGAAAAAGAACCTCAAGACATTCTTGCTGGCAGCTGACTTTTTAACCATGATTTTCAGAGGATTGGGAGGGTGAAGAGATCCCTGACAGCCCTATCCCAGAGGGTTCCCCTCTGTGTTCTTTTCATCAGATTATGCTGTAGCACCACAACAGTCTTCTCTTGCTCTCCCCTTCTGAATGACTTGAAATGTTTTGGAAGAAGTCTTGGATGCTGAGACATCGGGCCAAGAAGAACGCCAGATCAAAAAAAGTCTCATTTATTCAACATTCATTAGATAAAGCAACCTGGCCCTCCCAATAAATTTGCTTTTTTTGTTTAAAGCAACAGAGGGTCCTGTGGCACCTTTAAGACTAACAGATGTATTGGAGCATAAGCTTTCGTGGGTGAATGCCCACTTCGGCAGACGTTTGGTTGGTTGGTTGGTTGGTTGGTTGGTTGGTTGAATGGGCAAAAAATATCTTTGGTTAATTCCAGCTTCCATATCATCTCCATCCAAGACCAAAAACTGTGGGTATCTAGTCCCTCAAGGGACTTAAATATTTCTTTTTCAGTTGCCACAGAGAAATCAACTTTTTGGTTCCTCTTGTTTCTTACTTCCCACTTCTGGAGAGGGAAGTCAAAAGCTAACTACCAAGTTACACTAGCTAAGTTTCTCACCTGGGACAAACTCTCTTTTCTTGATAAAGCATGAATACAATTGGTAGAAGCCCTTAAGAGCTTCTGCTGCTTGTGGTTTTGTAACAACATAACAGGAAACCTGCACAGACACAGACAGATGTGAGAGGGGGCTGTGGGCTGCCCCTCCTCCCCATGGAGCAGGAGCTGCTCGTGCCTGGCAGAGGCCAAGCCATGCATGGGGCTGTGTCCGGCTACAGAGATTACCCAGATTATTTGTTTTGCATGGAGAACACTAGAGGTTGCCTAATTTCCATTCTAAGACTGTCCAAGTTGATGCATGCTATGAGCTAGAGATCTCATTCCATCAGGTCTAAGATGGGCTCTACCATACGTCTCAAAAGTTTCTGTTTTAGTGATATGTAAGGCAGATTTCGGGGTTTGTGTCCAGTCCTTCATGCGCCATAACTGTCATAACTATAAAGGGAAGGGTAACAGCCCTCCTGTGTACAATACTATAAAATCCCTCCTGGCCAGAGACCCCAAAATCCTTTTACCTGTAAAGAGTTAAGAAGCTCAGGTAACCTGGCTGACACCTGACCCAAAGGACCAATAAGGGGATACTTTCAAATCTTGGTGGGAGGGAAGGCTTTTGTTTGTGCTCCTTGTTTTGGGTGTGTTCGCTCTTGGGACTAAGAGGGACCGGACATCAGTCCATGCTCTCCAAATCTTTCTGAACAAGTCTCTCATATTTCAAACTTGTAAGTAACAGCCAGGCAAGGCATGTTAGGTTTATCTTTGTTTTCTCAACTTGTAAATGTTCCTTTTGCTAGAGGGTTTACCTCTGTTTGCTGTAACTTTGAACTTAAGGCTAGAGGGAGTTCCTCTGGGCTCTTTGAATCTGATTACCATGTAAAGTTATTTTCCATCCTGATTTTACAGAGATGATTTTTACCTTTCTTTCTTTAATTAAAAGCCTTCTTTTTAAGAACCTGATTGATTTTTCCTTGTTTTAAGATCCAAGGGGGTTGGATCTGGACTCACCAGGAATTGGTGGGGGGAAAGGAGGGGGAAATGGTTAATTTCTCCTTGTTTTAAGATCCAAAGGTTTGGATCAGTGTTCACCAGGAAATTGGTGGAGAAGTCTCTCAAGGCTACCCAGGGAAGGGTTATAGTACTTGGGAGGGAGATATTCTGGGGGGAGGTAGACAGAGTTTCCCAAATGACTCATAAATAATTTGGGTGGTGGCAGCAAAACCAGATCTAAGCTGGTAGTTAAACTTAGAGGTTCTCATGCAGGTCCCCACATCTGTACCCTACAGTTCAGAGTGGGGAAGGAACCTTGACAATAACTATGGGGAAGGAGTTCTGGCATACTGCTAGTAGAGCTTAGAAATAACTGAGGATAGATAGTTGGGCTTCTCTCTCTTGTATGTCCTGCCCGGGGTGCATACAAATGAACACTGTTCTCCAGAAAGTGCCAGACTCTTTCCCCTATAGTGGTGACCAACGCAGGCAAATAACCTCAAACCATAGATGCTATGTAAATTGACCACTTATTATTTTGTATTGCAGTTGCAACCAAAGCCTTCATTTGGGATGTGGGGCACCGTTGCGCTAGGCACTGAACTAGCACATCCATTAGGAAGACGCTGTCTCTGCCCCAGAGAGCTTACAACTTTCTGACAGACATCAGGAGGGAGCAGGGGTGGGGTGGGGTGAGGGAGAGGGTACCAGTGTAACAAGTTTTAAGGTCTTCTAGGATGCTGGAGGAGTATGAAGACTTAACACACCAGGTTTTAAATCTAGCTTCAATCCTTGCTGCTGTTTTTTCTTTTGGTGAATAAGGAGTGGTTGACATTAACCCAAATGCTGGAATATTTACATGCTGGTAGGCAAGAGATGATTGCGATGGCAGTGGCTACCGATGCTCATCTAGTTAGTAATGAATATAAAGTCTCTTCAGAGTGACAGATTTAAGCCGGTAAATGATAAACATAAACTACTAGTCACAAGTTATTGATTAAAAGATCAGTATGAGTTTTTGGAAGTTTGTGTGGGGTGCATTTTTCCCCTCCTTTCTTAATGACTGAATAGTTGGACTTCCAGGTATGGACCAGTCCTTCACTCCTTGTGTGGGCAAAATGCCTATTTGCCTTTGTAAGAGCTGCTGGATTGGTCCTTGAGTTTGTATGATGCTAAGAGTTGGTGAGCTGCTGTCTGTCAGATGAGACATAAAACCAAGGTCTAGTCCAGTTTTCATTAGAGATCTGTGGCTCTTTTGTTAACTCAGTGCGCTGGCCAAATTCTTCTGGCCTAAATAACTAATGTTGTTTCAACATAATGGAGCAGGTGATATGGGACTCTATTGGTAAAGAATTAAAGGAGGGTAATTTAATGCCAATCAACATGGGTTTATGGAAAATCACACTAGATAATTTTTTTGAGATTACAAGTTTGGTGGGTAAAAGAAATATTGTTGATGTAACATACTTGGATCTTTGTAAGGCATTTGACTTTGTACCGCAAAACATTTTGATTAAAAAAAACTAGCATGATATAAAATTAACATGGCACACATTACATGGATTAGGAGCTGGCTAGCTGGGAATCATTGAGCAGTTATGTTTCTAGTGGAGTGCCGCAGGGATCAGTTCTTGACCCCTATGGTATTTAACATTTTCATGAATTACTTGGAAGAAAACATAAAATCATCACTGATAAAGTTTGCAGATGACTCAAAAATTGGGGAAGGGATTAAATAATGAAGAGGATAGGTCACTGATACAGGGTAATCTGGATTGATAGATACAATGGGCACAAGCAAACAAAATGCATTTTAATACAGCTAAATGTAAATGTATACCTCTAGGAACAAAGAATGTAGGCCATACATGCACTATGGGGGGGACTGTATCCTGAAAAAGATTTGGGGGTTGTGATGGATAAACAACTGAACATGAATTCTGAGTGTGATGCTGTGGCCTAAAGGGCTAATGTGATCTTTGGCTGCATAAACAGAGAAATCTTGAGTAGAAATAGAGGTAAAATAGCGCCTCTGTATTTGGCAGTGGTTTGACCGCTGCTTGAATTCTGTGTCCAGTTCTGGTGTCTGCAGTTCAAGATGGATGTTGATAAATTGGAGAGGGTTCAGAGAAGAGCCATTAGAAAGATTAAAGGACAGGAAAATTACACTTTATAGTGATAGACTCCAGGAGCTCAGTTTATTTAGCTTAACAAAGAGAAGGTTAAGGGGTGGCTTGATTACAGTCTATATGTATCTACGTAAGGAAGAAATATTTGATAATCAACTCTTCAATCTAGTAGAGAAAGGTATAACATGATCCAGTGGCTGTGCAAGTTGAAACTAGTCAAATTCAGACAGGAAATAAAGCATACATTTTTTAACAGTGAGGGTAATTAACTATTGGAACTATTTATCAAGAGTTGTGGTGGATTTCCCCATCATTGGCAATTTTAAATCAAGATTGGATGTTGATCTGAAAGTTATGCTCTAGGAATTATTTTGGGAAAGGTCTCTGACTTAGTTATACAGAAGGTCAGACTAGATGACCACAGTGTTCCCCTCTGGTCTTGGAATCTATGGAAAGGACACTCTCTTTTAGGACCATAAAATTAATATGATTGTATAATGTTGTTTGCAAGATCTATGATGTTCCATACCAAGGTTGGTTATATTTCCATGATGGGTACAGTATTTCCTATACATAATTTGTTAAGCCTTTGGGATTCTTGGGCTGTAAAGCACTAAATAACCGAGGGAGCCTAGAAAGAAAAAGCTATGTTCACTTTACTTGTTGGCCATGGAACTTGGTCCTCCACTTTTGACCCTGGACCGCTTCTTCGGTTCACTTTGTGGATGGTGATATTTTATGTTTCTGGGATAAATGCATTGAAGGGTTGTAGATAAAATGGGAATGTTTTTGTGAGCAATGTGAAACTTACATGCTTCATTCACTTCACTTTTAATTTATTTCCCCCCCCACCCCTCCCCAGATGTAAAGCAAGTTTGTATTCTCTGAAATGGCAACAATCTGCCAAACGCACGGTGAGGGGCTCAACCAGTGTCACCTGCGCAGCATAGGCCGCAAAGCTTCTGTCTCCGGTGTTGCAGAGGTTATCCAGTGAGTACTGTGTAAGACAGCTCTTGGGCTGCTCTGCTCAAGAATGAACACTACATGCTGGGATTTGTATTTTACGGGCTGTGTTCCATGTTAAATATGAGTGGCGATGGTCCATATTCTAGACTGTGTCCAGTATGGAGTCTAACTTGTTATGGTGTGAGTCTGATTTGATAGAGTATGTTCTTAGTTTAGTTTAATATTATTGATAGTAGCTTACCTATGTTTTCTTGATTTTATTTTAGTTTGAGAATTGTAACTCTATATCAATTTTATAAATGGTATTAAATTCCTCTCAATAAGCAGTACGGATCCCAGAACCTTTTGGGGGCCTGGATTGGATACCAGCTGATCAACCTAAAATTCTGACCAGCTCCTCTTACAAGAGTTTGGTTCTCACAGCTTGCTTGGACAGTTCTGACTTCGCCACTTCGAATATTTAACAGAACAGTCTTGGCACTGTCAGTGCAGTGGGTTTTTTGTTGATTATTTCCCCCCAGATGTATAAGTTGAACATCTCTTCTCTTCTTTTCTGCTTATGTTCCAATTTCTCTAGGTTCCTTTGTATTATTATTTCTGTGCCCTGAGTGGTGTTTGACTCCTCCTACTTTATTATTGCCTGTGAATGTAATTTATTAGCTGTTTACTCCTCTTTTTTTAGATCATTAATAAAAATGCTATATAAAACCAGCTGTAATTTCGTCCTCACAGTATTCTGTGGACTTAATATAGAGTACCTCTTGCTCCCCTCCTCCCCCATTGGGCTCCTTTAATGTGTGTCAAGTTGGGCAGCCAAAGATCAAGACGCCCATAATCACGGGTTACTTCTGAAAATGTGAGCCCTGTGTTCTCTGAAACCACTCCCTACTATGCTGAGTTAGTTTTGCTCTATGTATCTTCTCTGGTAGTGACCAGAAAATGACGATACATTACTCCAACTGTAATTCAGTTGCTAGACCTTGGAAATTCTACTGCACCTATTTGTGGTACGGTGAGAGGTGAGAGGTGTTGTCTCCAGCCTCTTGTAATCACACTGCTTTCCATGAAATCCAGACTTCTGCAGAAGAAGCTATATGTAACAGAGAAAAAAATCTGACTTTTTTTTTTTTTTTAAGTTTTTATAAGGCAGTTACCCTGATTGGAAGAAACAAAGATGTTGTGGACTATTTCATCAGTTGTCCAGTTTCAGAGAGAAGAGATTACATTTCCCGGACTCATGCCAGAGTGATTCGAACCAATGATACTTACAGACTTGTGGATTCCAGCTTGACAGGTGTTTATGTGAACGATGTTAGAATCAATGGTAAGTGTGAAAGGAAGATGTTCAAGGGCATGTAGAGAAATCTTGTGCATTCCTCTCTCTAGGATCAGATGTTAGGATATACATAATACATCACTTTATTTGATGCTTATTTAATATTTATATTATGGTTTCTTTATCGCCTGATTGTAATACGTCCAACAATAGTTGTTCTGAATTTTTGAAAAGAATGATAGTTTGTTATGATGTGTAATATTTTTTGTTTTGTTTTAAATTTCCAGGTACAGTTAGGTTGCAGGAAGGAGATACTGTGACCTTTGGACATCCTGCAGGGAATGGTATCAGGCCTGGAACACAAGTTCGTCAGCCAAATTCAGAATTTTACTTTCTGGTACATTTTATTCCTTCTTTCATCCGTTGTAAGAGTAGCTAAAGCCTGGCTCATGGGTCAGATGTGATCCATATTGTTACACAGTGCGGCCTGTGGCAACCCTCCTCCTTAATACAGGGCAGGTCCCATGGGAACTATGAGTCCCAGCATGCTGTGCTCTATTTTGATCCAAATGTCCTGTCCTCATTGCAGACTGGATGGGGGTGGCTGTGATCTGATTCATCTTAAATAAGTTAAGTGTTGCATTTGTGCTCCTGGCAGGGTCCCATCAGTATACCAAAGTTTTAGAGACCTCTGTTCTAATTAGTGATACTGAAGAGAACGCCCATAAGTTTAGTATTCAGATGACTTTGATTCTTTTAATACATCAGTATAGTTGTTTATGCTACAGACTCTGGGAATGAGTCACTTTTAAAGGTAACTAAATAAGACTAACTTGCATTAAAATTGGAAGACTTGAAAAAACTTAACTTCCTTTAAGCCTTAAAACTGAAATCTGTTAATTAGCAGTAAATGATGCAGTTTACAAGGTATTAGGCCTCATCTTCATTTTAGTCTTCTGGATCTTGAATTAAAGTGAGGTTGTGTTTCAGATAAACCTCTTGCACTTCTGTTTCAGTTTGAACACTGTTACTGTAGGATCGATCAGTTGCGAAGTGCACGTGGAGAGATGAGGAATTCGCTACCACAGGTGAGGCAAAGCATAGGAAAAACCCTGAGTACTGCTAGTAATTTCTGTTTCATCTGACAAACAGTGTTCCTTTTTTCAGCTAAGAAAACTAATGGTGGAAATATGGTAAATGCTCTCTGACCTCCTGAATTAGTTCCCCTGCTCATTGCAAGAGTCATACTGTTGTTTGTTCAGTACACATGTGTAATTTTCTTTTCAGATCGTATAAATCTTTCGCCTTTTACTAAAGATTTCCGTGGAGAGGAGTATTTAGGTGCTTTTCAGACAAATAAGACCCAGATCCTGGCCCAGTGTACTTATTTTCTAAATTTTAGACAAGATACAATGAATGATAGCAACAAACAAGATGGGGAGTTTGGGAAGGAAGGACAATGATTACAAAAATGTCATACTGTTTGTGTGCACATCTTGAAGATTGTTATAATAAATACATTTATATTATAAATGGAAAAAAATAATAAATACCTATTGTATGTATATGTTTCTTGATCCTGTCTTCACCAAGCACTGCTCCTCCGCTGCCCCCCTGGCTGAATTCCCTCTGATCACTCCTGCACTGCTTCTGAATTCTTTCAAGGGTGCCTCCACAGTGGCTAGACAGAACGAGAAAGAAGTGCGGTGCGGTTGGAACTTGGACCAGTTCCTGGAAAACAGCACTGACTACACTTGAAGTGAAATAGATATCCGCATCCCCAATTATAGAACTTGGGTCACCAGCCGCGTATGGGGAAGAAGGCTATTATGCTCCCTCCAGTCAAAAATTATGTGCACTTAATGTGTAGTAATTTGGGGTGTGTGGTGGAGGGTGGCACTGAGTAAGTGGGTGGTGGTGGTAAAGTAGATATGAAATGTCAAGTTATCCATGCTACATCGGTTTCTGTTTTTACACTTAACATGTAAAACCAAAGTTCATTCCTTTTCAGTTATTTATACGTAGCATTTTATGGTGCTGTGACTCTTGTCTCTCTTCTGCAGATTCAGTTACCGCTGTTGACATCTGAAGTATCACCAGTGTACAACTCAGGTCTGGTCTTCGAGAACAATGTTGGCCTTCCCATTATATCCCAGCTGGCATGGACTTCTACAGTAGTCCAAAATAGTGGAGCTCCATCTACATCTAGCACACACTGTGGTGATAGGCAGCCTCCCACAGTCAGTGTGACTCTGCCATTAACATCAGCTGGCTCAGTACTGTCTTCAGCGAAGTCTTCTCTGTGTACAAATTCTGTTAATGTGACTTCAAACAAATTAGAAATGCCTGCAACATCTACATCAACTGCAACACCAGATACTTCTTTGGAAGACTACACTAGACCTAATTCTCAGATTGTACGTTCTGCTTCGCCTGAATATGTCCATAGGAAGGGCTCAACAGTCAGTGCAGAGCCTTCTCAACAAAGTGTCTTTGAAATTGCACAGTCGTCTTTGTTTCGGGGAAATGCTGCAAGGACAGCCGAACTGGCTAATTCTGACTTTCCCTGTGTGAAACCAAGTGGAGCCCAAGCATGCACATCAGGAAGCATGCCAAAGTTTTACAGACCATTCCTGGATGAGAGACAAGACAGTGGTGAAATAAAAACACAACTTCCTGCTGTAACTTGTTATAATCTAGAACCTTCACCACCTTTTCCTCACTCAAGAGATGCTGTAGAGACACATGACAGTGACCCAAATGGAAGAGCAATTGTCAGAGCTAGTCTTTCTGATAACAGTCTAGATCTTTCAGACTCTTTTCTAGTAGAAAGTGGAGGCAACCTTGATTCCAATCCACTAGCTCCTGTCGCTGATAAGTCAGTGCTTGGAAGTTGTGCAAACTCTGACGATGATGTAGGGATGGAGATCAACGTTATTAACAGCACTGAAGAAACAACTAAACATGAAACTTCTGGGAGTTCAGAACCTTGTATTCAAATGCAAGTCATAGAAGTGATAAATGAAGCTATGAAAAATGTTCAAGTGCCATCAGTCAGTGATTATAAGGCGAATTTAATGGAAAAGGAAAGATCAACAGAAGAACAGAATAGGTATTCATTGGAGCAGCATATTGTTGATGCTTGTGTACCTGAAACTCCATGTGTGGCTGTATCTGTTATTGGTGCTGAAACGTGTGAATCCCATTCAAAGAAAAAGGGTAGTCTTCATATAAATAGCTTGTCAGAGTCGGTAACTGTTGAAGTAGAAAACTGTTCAGAAAACAGTGACTGTATGACAATAAGCATTGTCCCAGAAGACATTGCTTTGCGTAAAGATCCAGATGGTAGGTCTCCTGCAAAAGAAGTGCTGAGTCCAAAGAAACTAGTGAATGCAGATGGTAAAACCTGTGTAGAAGAGTTGGATTTGCCTTCTGAAACTGCTATGACCATAGACAGAACTCGGGAAGTAAGCATATCATTTGTGCCAGACTTAGAACTTCCACATAGCGTTTGGCATTCTGAGATCAAAAATGAGATCTGCAAAGATGAGCTGACTTCAATTATAAAGCAAAACAGCCTTGTGCCAAATGAGGAAGCAATAAAAGAAAGTAGTGATATTGTAGAAAGTGACAGTTGTTCCTTGGCTGACAGAGAATTGGAAACTTTAAATAATATCTTAGATATGGAAACTCAGAAGCCTGAAACTACTTTGGACGTTCAAGAAGGAGCTGAACCTAGCAATGATAAAATCATGACGATATCAAATAGAGAAGTAGGAGAAATACATAGCGATCATGTTTTTGAGGACAAGTTGCAAAATGCTTTAGATCAGGACTACATGCTTTCAGACACTGGAATAATTAACCTAGAACATCAGAACTCGTCTGATGCTCATAAAATTCTGACAATGTGTGCAGCAAAAGAAATGTCCAGTTCTGAGTGCGATATTGGTTCTGCTAAATCCCAAGAAAAGGAGGATGACCATGTCAGCGGGGTTGCCTTATTCCAGAGCAGTGTTACAGAACAAGTTGCCTCTAGAGCCAGTGGAACAAAGATTGTCCAGGGTCTGGATGTGCCTCATTCAGAAGAGGAAGAATCATCAATGGCTTCTCATGTGGCAGTGGATGGGCTTGTAACAAAGATGCTGCAAAACAATCCAGATCCCACAGCACCAGAGAACCTGCCCTTGTGTGCAGAGAATATCTCAAACTATCACGTACATTCTCCTTCTAAACACCATATCCTATCTAAAGATACATACTTGGAAGATGTAACTTATGATTCTTCCTGTAATTGTGTGCCATCTTCCTCTGGATCTTTTCACAGTGAGAGCTCGCCTCACCAACCAGCTCCAAAGGAAGAGGAATCCTGTAAGTCAGGGGCAGTTGTCAAACCTTTGAGTGGAACATTTTGCAGTTTGCAGGCCACAGAAGTCGAAATGACTTCTCCTGAGTATCCTGGCAGGTATGAAGACTCTGGAGCTTTTACATCTGCCAAGAGGTCCATTAGGGAAACAGTGAGCCAGGAAACGAACATCCAGCCATTGTCCCAAAATGAACCTGAAACTTCTGTGAAACAGAATGCATGCAATAAGGCAAATATTTCTCATGCTGCTGTGTGTATAGAGTCTGAAGGCTTTCAGTCAGACCATGTATATATGACTACATCGGTATCTACAAAAGGTGTGCCACAGGAGGTTAGTGATTTTGGTATCCATAAAATACATTTGGAAGTAAGTGCTTCTGAAGAGGGTGAAGAGCAAACCGATATGAATGTAAATGCCATCTCTTTAACAATGGATAGTCATGTTAGATACAGAGACAAAGATGAGAGTGAATCAAAGATGGATTCCATGGATACAGAGATGAGAATATCTTCAGTTACAGATTGTATTGAAATATCATATGCAGAAGTGGGAACTCAAACTAGGCTAATAAATGAGAGGGCAATAAGCTTACTGGCTACAAAACCCGCAATAAATGGAAACAAAAATAGTGTGGCAAACACTAGTATCTGTGAGGAAGAAGTAAACATGTCTGTGGACACGAATTTGAGTCTTCAACAATTTTCAGAGGCATATGAAAGAACTATACTGGATAACAATGCAAGTAAAAATTCCTGGAGAGAGTTCTCCAAACAGATGGAGTTGGATTCCGAAGCAGAGGAAAAGCTGCCTTCAGAAACACGGTTAGAAACCTTTGACGGAAAAACAGTATTTGTAGCTTCATGTTCTTCTCCAAATAAAGTGACATTTTTGGAAAACACAGAGAAATTGGTAGAAGTGATGAATCCTGAGTCACCTATTGATGTAGGTGAAGAATTTCTTGATCGGTGTCTGCTACAGAAGAGTGACTGCACTTTGGAGAGAAAGAGGTCTCCAGGAAAAGAAGAGGACGGGTCATATATCTCTGTGTTTTCTTCCAATTCTCTTTCAACCACTAACACCGGGTGTATTAAAACAGTTGGAATCCTTGTCAGCCATACTTCGGATTCCACTCTTAATGATAACAATAAGATGCGTGATACTGATTGCCAGGAACTGAAAACTGCTTGCTCAGTAGTGGATGATACAGTATCAGGGGAGAAGCAGCTTGATCAGTCAGCTAGTATTGAGAATACATTTTATAAAAAGACAGATGAAGATAGTGTTGAAAGCAAAGAGATAATGAAAATACCTGGAGAGAGACATGACTCAGGAACAGCCATTAATGATAGCATATTTGAACAACAGAAAAATATAGAAAACAAAGGTATAGATAAAGAGATGGAGATTATGGCAAATTTGTGTGTTGGACAAACAAATCTTAATCACAGTAGCGTTACAGAAGCACCTACAAACAGGCTGGAAGGGAATACAGTGTATTACTCTTCAGCATTAGAGGGAGGAACAGCAGATGATCTTTCTCCATTATGTTTATCCAAACAGACTTCTCTAGTAGTGGAAAGAAGCTCGGACTTTAATGATTATTCCTGTTCGCAAAGACAGTCTCCTTACTATGTGAATAAAAGGGACATGGGAAACAATCCAGAACCTGCAAATGATTACATCTTGCCCCAGCAGGTCACCAGGAATGAAGAAGATATGAAGTTGAATAATGAAAATAGAGTTGAGGCAGTAAACCATAAATGGAGTGTAAAATCAGTTACACTGGAAAAAGATAAAGTGAAATTTAAGCACACTGATGCACATTTTAGTGAGCTTGATTTGGGAACATTGAATAATTACCAAGAGGATAATGAGAACTCTTCTGTTAGCTCTGCCCATTTGGAATTACGACAGCCAACTAGTGCATTTCATGACCAGCAGGAGACAGATTCCCATGCCGGGGAGTCCCAGCATTTGGAAAGTAACATAGACTTGAAATCTGAAGAGGATCCTGTGAAACAGTCACTTTATCCAGAAGACTTCGTCATAGACAGTGATTTGAAGAAGCTATGTGAACAAAATATGACTACTGAAATCTTGACACCAACTGGTTTGGAAAGGAGTAATCAAAAAAGTATATGCCAAGAGGAAGGTGGAATCAAACTGCAAACTTCTGAAATGGACACACAACCATGCAGTGTAGACAGAAATGATCTTGCGGTTGGGATGCAGGCTGTTGCATCTGGAAGGCCTGAATCTGCCAAAGAAAATATAGCTGAAAACCTCCTAAAGGAAATTGAAACTGACCCTACAGAGGGGTCTGAGTTATTCAGTGCAGAGGAGCTTAATTTATATATCTCAGATTCTGAAGTTGAAAAGGAAAAGGAAGAAGAAAATAGCAAGAGAACGAAAAATGCAAATGAAATGCAGTATGATAGAAGCAAAATCCTGAAGGAAAAGGACACTGTCATCTCTGATCCAAACAGTGTTTCTGGCAGCATTATTCTGCAAGCTGACCTGGACTGCAAACCAAATGAAGATCAGCTTGGCAGAGTGATTGAAACAGATGATATCAAATCAATGATAGGTACAGAAAAGTCAACAGATATGAGTTTGGAGGAAAAAAGCTGTTCTCTTTGCAATGCAGAATATGATCTAAGTGAAGTTAGAATTGCTGGACCTGAAAATTGTAGCACCGGCATGGTAGTTGGTGAATTCAGTCGCTTAGTAAAAAGCCCAACACTGAGAGAAGAAAAAACAGAGAACCAAACAACTGCAGAACATGAGCTTGGGCCCTTACGTTGTCCTTATAATTCTATAGAATTTCCCTGTGTACCAGGAAGCCAGAGAGAGATGGAAGCAGTGAAAGGCAATGCAGAGGTTGGTTTGAATAAGGGAGATGCAGGTTGTTCAGATGAACATGTAGGAAATGCTGATTCTAATTCTATCCAAGCTGGAAAAAATCTAGAGGAGAATCCAGAGCCTGAGAATAGCTTACTTGATGGTTGCATTCAAGAACTAGATGTGGGGACACTAGCTGCACCTCTTGGAGCCCTAAAAACTGTTAAAGACTCTCCAGTAAATGAAATGCTGACCAGCCTTTGTGCAGAAAAAGACAAACTTAATCAGAAAACAGAAACAAATGAACTGGTATATATGCAGCAAGAAAGCAAAGACTCTGAACCCCTGAAATCCCAAGCAAAGATATGCCAGCCCACAGGACGTGCAGACTTTTCTGAAGGCAGAAATGAAGGTTTAACTGTTTCAGAGTCTAACTTTACGAACAGAGTGGAATCTCATAAAGAGGAGAATAAAGATTCTCAGAATAAAGAGGCAAACAAAAATAATTCTTTCAGAACACTAAAAAGACACATTAGTAGAACCGAATATTCTGGAACTTCAGTTTCTGAAGATGAGCAGTGCGCCCAAAAGAGAAACTGCCCTTTGGGGTCTCTTTCCATGCAGGAGTCTGTATCTGACCTGCCCAGTCCTAATGTAACCTTGTTTTCCATTCCCACTGATTTGAAGGAGTGTCATGATCGGTTTGTTAGCAGTAGTGTTAGGCGGTTCTTTAAAAAATACCCCATTCTTCAAACCGCTCAGCATCTTGATGAAGTGGAGAAGGAAAGTAGTAAAAATATTGCCCAACTGGTGAGAGAATTTTTTAAAAAAACAAATGACTCTGAGAACCTGGTAAATGAAAACATAAAACCTGAAAGGTTTGTGCCACCCATTGAAAGTAAAGTAGAAGACGACACTGACTGTAAATCTATAGGTGAAGTAGACAGTGATGATAGTACAAGGAGAGATGGAAGCAGTTTACTTCTATTTTCAAGTATTGAACCTCAAGTAAATGGAAAACAATCAGTTAAATTAATATCTGAGTCCCAGAGTCTCCCCCTTGACAGTCAGTTTGGGTTTACTGAACTTGCTGCTAGTTCAGCAGATTCATGGACTGATGTACTAGAAAAAGATGTGGTAAGTAAAATTCCAGAAAGCCCAAGTGCAGATTCCCTGTCTGAAGAGGAACAGTTTCAGTCTAGGGTGTGTTTAGCATTAGATAATCAATATTCTTCTGATAAATCTCCCCTGAAGTCTCCTGATGTAGATTCTGAACAGAGCACCAAAATCAAAGATTTGGACTTCATATTCTCTGACACATCGAATAGCTCTGTTGAAGGTGAGCATCATCCGCTTACCCAAAAACTAAGTAGCAGTAGTTCTAGTGGAACAGGTGACGGGCTTCATGAAGGTATTTGCAGTGACAGTTGCAAAGCAGCTGGTCTCGACACGCAGTCAGGTTTTTCACGTAACTCCTTAGAAGCCTCAGCTGTGTATTGGAGCGATGATGACACAAATATAACTTCAAACCTTATTGCGACATCTGGAGAAAGCAGCCAGTGTGTTATAAGTAACTTTCCACAGCAGTTGGAGTCAGAAGACCATGTTGAAAGCATCAAAGACAAAAATTACATGCCAGTACTGCACCAGGCTGAGAGAACACTTGATGGTGTCAAAACGCCCAATATAGAAGACTTATCAGTTCCTGCGTTCTGTGTGAATTCAATAACTGGGGCCGTTCCTGGTTCACAGAAGATCATCTTGAAGGTAGAAAGTGATGCAGACCAACTTGAAGTCCCTGAATTTGATGGTCACAACAACACACAAAATAGTGAAATCTCCTGTCTTCAAACAAAATCTGCATGCTCTCCCTGCAAAGGTAATAATTTTTTTTTAAAGGAATAAAAAATACATGTCTTAAGGCAGAAAAATGCATTTGAGAAGGCATATGTTGTAGGCTGGGTGTGTGCCTATAAAAACTCCCAGAAATAAATTAATTTGGCTATCACAGCACGTCATATTTATTATGGCACATAGTCCCTATTGTATAGAGAAATTATAGTTGTCTAATTTCATATAGATAAACTTCCCTTTTCGTATGAGGAATGTCGCGCACACAGTGTTTTGGAACCCAATTTGCCTTATCCTACAAACTTGGAAGTAACTTACATCTGTTGCTCTGGCTCCTGCATTTCAGTTATAAATTTGATGTGTTTATATTTTTATATAGACACGCACTCTTTTAATCTTTCAGCATGGTTTTTCTTGCATTCCTCATGGCTGTGGACAGAGCAGCCTGCGTGGTATGGCTAATGCAGATTGAATTTGCTAAAAAGTATACAAATATTGTAGTTCTCTAGCCTACTAGTGTTCTGGAACACTGGCTTCTGTCTAAGGGTATGTGTACACTGCAGTCATGGGCTTTTGGGCCATCTTGTACAGTCCACACTGACGTACACGCTGCTGCAGCTTCACTGCTCTGCTACCTGAGGTAGCTAAACTAAAGATAACTTAGATATGTCTACCTGAGTTGTGATTAGTCTAGACCTACCCTAACACAGATGTAACAGATGTGCCTCAGCAGGCCTATATTTATGCACATAAACACAAGGCCCCCATATTTCTCTATCACAGAATTCATCCCTTAACAATCTCAACTTTCATTAAAAAAAGAACAGTTTATAATTTGTATGATTGTGAAGATTGCCTCAAAAATGTAAACCAGTGCCCTGTCTGAGTCTGTAAAGAGACAAAAACAAATAATGTTGGTTGATCCATTTTCATCCTTAAATCTCAGGGTAAAAATGATATTCTCAGCTAAGGAAGCCTCTATTAGTAGAGTCTAAACAAATGAAGCTGCTCACTCTAAAATGCAGCTGTTCTCTGTTGGTGCAAAACTAACATTGAATCAAGGGGTGAGGGTAGAGGGCACCCAAATGTTTCAAGTTATATCTTTTATTTCTTTGAACAACCAAAAACGTGCCAGGTACTCCACATAAGCAAGTATACAGTCCCTGCCCCAGAGCTTGCAGTCTAAACTTGGATATGACGACAAGTGTGGGTTATGGATAAATGAAATAGCGGAATTTAGGAGAGGAAAGGGAGAGGTGCAACAAAAAGATCACGTGGTTACACAGTAAAGCAGTGACCCATTGTTGGTTTTAAACCTGCCGTGGCCTTTTGAGAGACAAGTCATGGGGCTGGGGTTTGAGAGAGAGAGAGGGAGGTGACCTGGTAAACATTAAGGAGGGCATTCCATGTATGGGGATGGCTTGGAAGAAGGCAGAAAGGAGCAGGATTTGAGTGAGATGAAGGGGATATCTAGGCTGGCATAATTGGTGAAATTCAGGGAACCTGGGAGGGAAAGCAAAAGGAGACAAGGTTGTAGCTGAGAAGCAAGTAGCAGAAGCTTGAATTTGATAGGAATATAAGGAGCCAAAGTGGGGATTGGAATAGTCTAGATTTCTGTGAATACCAAGTTAAATGTTTGGTGTGTGGATTTTTTTTTTCCTCACCCCCAGATTTAACACCTGCAGCCACAGTGGATTGGAACACTAACTCACCTATACAAGAACAAATTACATCCCATGTAAGATTAGGCGTTAATTCCCAGATGCAGTTAAAAAGAAAGCTTTCTCATGAGGAGCATGACGACAGTGGTAACAGAAGCAGCATTTCCCCTCTATCCAAAATGTGTCCCCCTGTCGTTGCAATTTCTTCAGAGTCTGCTGATGAGGAACCAGCACCAAATCAAAAGGAAATTGGTACTCCTGATGCTTCAGGATCATGCAGCACTTCTCAGACCAGCCTTACTGAACCTGTTACCCTGACGCCATCCAAGTCTGAAGCCAAGCACACTCTATCACTGAAGAAGCTGAAAAATTCATATGCATCCATCCCTCCTCCTGCAGTCAAAGTGAGCAGTGCTTCTCAGAAGGCTGTAGATAGTAATGTAAGGAGATACCTTCAGAGCTCTTATTTCAACAGTCAGTTGGAACTCTCTTCCTTTAAGCTTCCTCCTCCTGAGGCAAGTGATTCTGCTGAGGTGATTAATAGCCGCCATGAAAGAACTGCCAAAGAGGAGGACTTTGCTGAAGATAACCAGCATGGAGACCAGCAAAACCAGAAAGGACAAACTAACCTATATGATTACATGGATGGAAGAGTTGCTTCGGAGCCTTGTATTGCAGTGGGATCGAAAGGCCCCAGTGACTTACAGGCTACTAATGATTTTAGTAGTATGAGCAGTGTGCCAAAACTAGAGGCTATGGATTTGTCTAGGTCAACATTGAACAGTTTAGCTTGTGAACCTGCTGTCTTTCCTGCTTTCAAAGAAGAAAATCTGCAGTGTTCTCTGCAAGTACAAACACTTTCTGACACTTCTGGTCATTGCAGCCTGGACTTCAAGGAGTATCCTACAACTCTTGTTCCAGTAATCTCAACTTTGCACAAATGTGGTGCCTCAGAGACTTCTGTAAGCTCTCTGCCAGACCATTCGTTTCAACCAATGTCTATAGCAAATCTTCAGATTCAAGACACGGTCCTCTCTCCATGTAAGTTTAGCCAACTAGCTTCGGAACGTGTTTGCTCTTCAGATGAAGAAGCTTCCCGTCGTTCCGAGGATTTAGGTGAAGATATGGAAGAATTCCCATCCATGTCTACAGAGAGTTCAAGTGCTTTTGGCCTCTTGTCTGAAACCAAACATTTGGGCAATCTCTCTGATGCTGAAAATTCTGCTCCCAAAGCAAGTTCCAGTAATACAAACCTAATGGAGAGTGAACTTCAGAAAGCCTGGGCTTTATCAGAGGGAGACATTGAGTTTCAGTTGAGTCAGTGTCAAACTGTGCTTGATGAAATTTCCCAGACTCTGTGTGCTGTGGAGGGCATTGATGTACTGCACATGAAGGAATGGAGGTAAAGCTTTATTTTTGAGTCTGTAGCTGTCAAACTAATGAGACCGTTGGGGGGGGGGGCAGGGTTGTGGTGGTCAAAGCATACCGATAGGCAGGATTCCTGACTCTCTGCATGACTTTAGGCATGTCCCTTTAACCTCTGTGCCTCAGTTTACCCATTTGTAAAATAGTGTGAGTAACCACTTCACAGGAATGTTTTAGGCTACTATACGTGGCAAATTTGCTGAACAGTCCTCGTTTTTTATTTCCTGCTCTCAAATGATCATAAATGTTGTAAGAAAATTTCTTTTGGATAGAATCTCTTCATGTTTGGTGTCAGCCCAGTGGTGAATTTCTTAATGAACTGTTGAGGAAAAGGTATCCAGCCAGTATGAGTTGTCAGTATGAAAACATAAATTAATGTGGTCAGAACAGGAAACTACTCAAATATCCAGGAACCTGTTGTCATGCCTCTCCAGCGTGCCCTCTTGTGGCCCTGTGGATGTATTACACTTAGTGCCCCTTGAGTCTTTTCAATTACAATTCAAAAACAATTACCCAGACCAGGTTAATTCAACCCTTCTTTGCGCGGTCTACTTTATTCACAGTTGCAGCATATTCCCCTTTACCAGGTTGGGTTTATTAACTTGTTCTACAGCAGTAACTCACCTGTTTAGTCTCTCCAGTTCATGCCCTCCCTGGATCCATGTAAAAGTCCTGGTCGGTTTCCTCCACTGTTCAGAAGGCCCCAGCCCTTTTCCCAGACATTGGTTGGACTTCAGACAATCCCCCATGTGTCATTTCTTAATACAGGAGCCTCCTAGCTCTCCTTCTTGGAGCTGGAGTTAGACTTTAGGCCTATCGTAGAGTCTCAGGCAGCTTTTCCCCACTCAGTCCTTCTCTGCTCAGTCTGGGAGGGTTCACCAGGCAACCTTCCTCTGCTAACTCAGGGCTGTTCAGGAGCCTCTTTATGCCCTGTAGTATCTGAGGGAGGAGGCGGTGTTTATACAGGCACTTCTCCCAGCTTATTCTTTATCGGTTGGGTGAGAAGGGAGACTTGCCCCACCCTCTCTGCAAGGCTCCTGGCCCTGGGCCCTTACAGGAACAGTGACAAGATTCCTTCTCCATTCCTGTGGCCACTTCCCCTCTTGTTCTATCCCCCTTAGGTCTCAGGTATAATAATCTATTGGCCCCTTAAAGAGCCATCCTATGTGGCGGGGTGGACTAACCTCTAGGTGCTACTGCATTTAAGAGGCAGACCACCCAGGGACACCCACATAGAAAAAATTAAATTAACAGGAAACACTGATACCTGAATGTGTTTTCTTAAGGAGTACAAGTCTGTGCATGCTCCACGTGTTGATATCCATGTTTTAAATTAATATACCTTTTGCCTTTTATGCACTCCTACCAATTAATCCAGCTTCACAGAACTGTGCAGTATTCCAAACCTCTGAGCAGCTTCAAGCAGTTGTCCCTTAAAAAAAAAAAAAATCCTCAGCCTGCCATCGAGATGTATGTGCGTTTCACACACAGCTCCCCTAAAAAGTTGAAAAAATACCAAGACTGGTAATTCAGTCCTGCACCAGAGACAGGTTTAAGGTCTGTTTATCTTGTGATATCAAAAAATTAGAAACAGACGCTTTATATCACTGGAAACTTCTAGTCAATGTGCATAACGAGTATGGCTGGAATACAGTAGTACAATATTGTGTCCCTGTTTTCCTTCCTGTAATACTTCTGCCTCCTCTTCCTCACACTAAGTCACACCACACACTGGCTAACAAAGTCTTTCAAATTTTCTGGGGTGTTTTATTTGGCATTCTTGTTCTGTGAAGGGCCTAAGGGTATAACATAGACTTCTCCTACCTACACTTCTAGGCCAGTCTCTTTAATTACAGTCCTAGACCAACAGCACCTGTTTTTTTTTAAAATGGAAACTTAAATTGCAAGCTCTTTGGAACAAGAACCATGTCATGAATTTGTGCAATCTATAGCAGAATGGAACACTCATCCTGATCAGGGCCTCTGGGAGCTAATGCAGGATAAATACTGCTAATAAACAGTTAACACTGTAGAAAAATCACTCTTCCTAACTCTATAGGCTAATGGTTCTGACTGAAGCTCACTGGCTTGTCTCATTGAGCTCCTAAGGAAGACTAGCAGCAGGTGTTTTGATTCCTGTTGGGTTAATTGACAGGGTGGCAAAGGTCACTTGCTAAAGCAAACCCACTTTGTGAACTCCTGCTAGTCCTGGATAAATCCCTGCAATAGATGCAGGGGTAATGGGTTTTCTTTCCAAAGGCTCATCTGGATTAGGATGCTGTTGTCTTTGCTGAACCCCAGAGAGCTAGTACATCCCATCATACTTCCGAAGTAAGCATAGTTCTGTGATTTGAAATTTATTAGATGCACAACTGTGATACTTTTCTGTTAGTCTGGAGCAGACATAAGCACCCTTTAGATAGTTGCAATTTTCAGTATTCCTGTGGTCTCTGGAGCACTAAAGTACTTAAAATACTGGCACATCATTGCACCACTGACCATACAGAACATATATATGTTACAGTTATATACAATATAGAGGAGAATTATTTTTTATTGCATTTGGATAGAGCACCCCAATGGAACTTATTGCTAGTATTTATGTGCTGTCATGTTGAGGGATCTCTATGCTTATCCCTTGCTAAGATATATTGCTTTTTTTGTTTATATAACAATTCATGATACAGTTTTAACATAGCTCTTCAATTCTTAAAGAAAACCGAAGTTGAATCCTTTGCGGAAGATTGAGTCACTTCTCTGATATTTATTAATTGCTTATTTCTTCGTCTTCGTGTTCTTGTTCTTCTTCTTCTATCATCATCATCCTGTTCCTATTATGCCTCAGACGTTTAGGGCAGTGATGAAGCTCCTCTGCTCCTGTCTGTTTCTGGCAAGTCTCTCAATGGTTCCCCGGCTGTGCCCCAGGTTTTTCAGCTTGGCTTCCACAGCTCTTCGCCATGTTGTTTTTGGGTGGCCTTGTTTTCGCTTGCCTTCAGGTGTCCATCTTATTGCTACTCTGGTGATGAAATCAGTTTCCATCCGAAGCACATGGCCAATCCATCTCCAACACCACCTGGCAATGATGGTGCTCACATCCTCTTGGCTGCACTGTGTCAATAGAACTTGGTTTGAGATTGTTCTGGGCCAAAAGATCCGGAGGATTTTTCGGAGGCAGGTTGTATGGAATGAAGACAGTTTGGACTTGTCATACTTTCTCATTCCCCAGCATTCTGCACTATAAAATAGTGTTGAAAGTACGCAGCTCTGATAGATCTTGAGTTTGGCTTTGGTGTTGTATTTTGATGATTTCCAGACTGTATTTAAGCTCCTGAAGGTGTTCCTGGCTTTATTGATTTTGTTCTGGATGTCCTGGCTTGTTCCACCGTCCTGGCTGCTTATTTACATAGGTGTAAATCTTGGAGGCAGACAATTATTCTGTAGAATAACCTTAAAACTTGTTGATTGCTGAAGAGAGACTTACAGATGGGAAAAAAACCACAGTGTTTGAGAGAGATCAGATTTGCTCATGTGCCTAGGTTGTTAAGCAATGACCAAGCCTGGAAGTCATGTGGATTTGTCAAACATTGCAGCAAGTAAATAACAGTATTAGAAGGTGCAGCAATCCTATCAGGGTAAGAACAGATGATACCTAGGTTCCAAGGCCAGAAGGGACCATGGTGATCATCTAATCTGACCTCCTGTATAACACAGGCCATAAACTACCCCAAAATAATTCCTAGAGCAGACCTCTTAAAAAAACATCCAGTCTTGATTTAAATGTTACCAGTGATGGAGAATCCACCATGAGCCTGGCTAAATTGTTCCAATAGTTAGTTACCCTCATGATTAAAGTAGGTGGTTGTATTGCTGTACATTGTAAGTGAAATGTTTGAGGGTGGCGGTAGGTTCAAAAATACAAGAAGTAGGATATGACCCTCTAGTTCTGATTTGATTTCTGGTGGAGTAACTTTGGGAGCGTGGTAGGTAGTTCATCTTATATGCAGCTATAGAGTTCATCTTGTACGTAATTTATGGCTTCAAAACTTGCATCAGTCAGAATAGCTGCTTATGCAAATTGAAAGCTTAATAAGTTAAATATTGCCAGGTGACTGCTTCATAATTCTGCGCTTTTTTTTTTTTTTTTTTAAATAAAGAGAACAGATTGAAAACTTGCAGAAAGATACAAAAATGCCAAAGACCTACATTGCAGTGGTGGGGAACACCGGGGCAGGGAAAAGCAGCTTGTTAAATGCCTTGCTGGATGAGGAAGCGGTGCTCCCTACATCTGCCATGAGAGCCTGCACTGCTGTGGTGGTGGAGATATCCAAGACTGGTGGGAAGAGTCTATATGAAGCAGATGTGGAGTTTCTTTCTAAAGAAGTAGGTAGCAAAGATAAATCTAAATATCCAATGGCTAAATTCTGCCAGCAGAATGGTTGTATGACAACATTGGGAGCCTATGGTGTTAGGGTAAAGGGGTTAAAGAAAAGTAATTTCATTCCTGTGGAATGCAGATGCATTTTGTGTTGGCACACAACATTTCATGGGCAAAATCTGAAATCTATGACCTGTCTGTCTTCTCTCACTCCCTGTCTCCTCATGGATGTGTCCTCTAACTTTGAATCCTGAAACCCATTAACCTAAGTTGGATTGTCTTGCTCCCAGTCTCCATCCTTTATGGGTTTCACTACACTCCTGAGTGAACGTTCCAGTTAGCACAGATCCTGTAAAGCCAATCTTCAAAACTAATGGGCATATTCTTCATTGCCCGTGAGGGTTAGCCACTTGACCCATAATCTTTTCAATGCCATTTGAACAGTTTTACTATCATCTGAACGCTATTCATCTGAAAATATTGGGTACCCCTCTAGATCTTTGGGGTTGTATTATAATTTGTAGGGGTTTCATAGATTCCATGGCCAGAAGGGATGACTATTATCATCTAGTCTGACCTCCCGTATGACACAGGCCATAAAACTTCCACAAAAATTCCTAGAGCGTATCTTTAAGAAAAACATCCAGCTTTGACTTAAAAATTGTCAGAGATGGAAAATTCACCACGACCCTTGGTAAATTTGTTCCAGTGGTGGTTCTCACTGTTATAAATGTGTGTCTTATTTCTGGTTAGAAGTTAATAGGTTTCTAAACCCAGAGAGAAGTAACATAACTAAATATAATGAGATAAAAATCTCTCTGGCATTGTTCCAAAGAGATGTTAAGGTTTGTGGGGTCTGTGATGATGGTAACTTGACCTTTTTAGCTGGATGGTACTTTTACAATTTACTGTGCCAGGGTTTGAAAATTCCACTTGTCCTTGGTGAGCAGGATGTTTTCCCCAGGGAAGTGCCATTAGCCTCTTCCTAATTTAAGCTTAGACTTGCATTTAATTTAAAAAATGGTTTTGGGTGCCTTAATTGTTGGGTGCCCATTTGAAGGAGCCTGATCTTCAGAAATTGCTTCCCTGTGAGAATCAGGCCCTTTGAAAAATGTCTCAAGTTTTGCGCACACAATTACGGCCTAAGTTTCTTCTTTGAGTGGCCTCACCCTTAGAACGTTTGAATGGTGAGGGGAGAGACTAGGGGGAGCTTGTGAGCACTCCAGGAGGCACAGCTAGTAAAAATTCCAGTCTGAGCACACCCAATAGGTGCATCCCATGAGTGTGAATATGCAGAGCCCATTTTGAAGAACTTTGGTTACAGGTAAGTAAACTTCATTTCTTCTTCAAGTGCTGGTCCCTATGTGTTATCTGCCATGGGTACACGTGTGCTCCATGTGCCTGAGACAGGAGAATTCTTGCAAGTAATGTCCATTGGTCTGCATCTGTGCTCCTGCTGTCCTCATGCTCTGCACTAAGATCATAAGTGGTAGGGTGGACCAATTGCCTCTCCAGTTGCTTCATCAGTTTTATCTTCAGTGTAGTTATACTAACAGAACTGTTAATGCTAGCTAGTGGCTGGATAGCGTCCCCTCCATGGGGAACCTTCCCAGCTTCCTGGTATGGAAATTAGATTATATCCAGAATACTGGGCTTTAAAAGCTGCATCTCCTGTCCCTGCTCTTTTCTTGTCAGTGATGACCATCAGCATTGCCTGCACTGCCTCAGGGAAGCTCATCTCTTCACCAAGTGCAGTATCTGTTGTTTCTACCCCAGCCGCACCTGTCAGGTGTGGGAATTCTGACTTCATGGGGAAGGCTATAAGGACCCAGTCAGACCCAGGCTAGGGGAACCTTCCTGTACATTGGCCAGAGTCCTCAAGTAGCGCGCCTCCTAGCATGAGGCCTAATGCAAGTGTGAGGAAGATCACACCTAGGGACCCTCCATCAGGGTTTGCTCAGGAGAGCAGGGGACACTCTCATAAGCACAAAAGCAGACCACTCTGAAGAGGGCGATCCTCCCCTTCCCCCCACCCTCCCCAACTCCATCCAAGTCAGGCAAGTCTTCATCCCCAGGTCCCAAAGACTTAGCATGTCTTGAGTCCCAGGGCCACGCTATAAAGGTGCATAGGAACAAGGTTCTGCCGATACTAGACTCTGCACTGGCAGCGCTGCCATTGGCAGGTACCATCTGCAGGCCTTCCTGGAGCCCTAGGCACGCCTAGCAGTATGAACCAAAGGTGGTGAAACAAAGTAGGCCGTGTCAGAATAGTAACATCAGGGTATCCACTAACCAGGTAAACTTGTTCCTGATTGGAGAGAATGGACAAACACACAGGCCCCTCCTAAAGATAAGGATGGGATGACAGAATAATGGATGAGGGTGTTTTGTTCAAACTAGGAGGTACAAGTGTTACCCGCACACTCTAGGGGCACCCCACTGTTACCCTTCAGTGGGCTCCTGGGTTAATTTAGGCACCCCCACCCTAACCCAGTTCCTAAGGCTCAAGGCCACCCATACCCAATTCCTAGGGCTCAAGGTGTAATCTTCTGTGGGTTTTGTGGGGCTTTTTACCAGTAAGAGCCTTACACAGTAATATCCTTAACCTCTATTTATTAACAGTTACCACAACAGAATACAAATGTTAAGCATACAATGCTCACCACTCCCAATAAGTCAGACTAACTTTTCACTCCACGAACAGCATAGGAGCAACACAGAGACACAGCAGCATTAACACCACCATTGAGGTTGAAAGTCAGAGAACCACCAGTACTGACAAAGCACCCATCGGGAACCTCAGTCACCGGCAGTAATGCTGCAACCCCATATGGATCCACCAACTCAGAGCCTTCCTATGTCAGCTCCCTTGGTGTGGGTAGACCGAATCGCGCACACTGCAGGTAGAGCAGGACTCCACTCCAGGGGACATCTTTGTTTTCCTGGATCTGCAATCTCCTCTGTTGCCAGGACTAGCGAGCTCTTGACCCCACCCGGAGACATGGGCTATGGGAAGAGAAGTCTGTCTCTCCTCCCCCCTTCCTCCCCAGTTTGGTCTAACAGCTACAGCTTTCCTTCGATAGGATCAACTGCCCCATTGATTGTCAGACCTGACCTTGTTATGGGGGGAGTCAGTTCCTCCAGTAGATTTGTCATTGCCTCATTGATGGAGAACAATCCAAACAGGAGATCAAGAGCTTCCTGGAACCAACCTCCCTAACTCAAACCAGGACATCCCCTTCCCCCCCCCCCCCCCCCGGCCCCGGGGGTCCCCCCCCCGCCTTGGGGCCCCCCTCCCCCCTTTTGTCTGGCCCTGTTGGGTCCATGGGCCCCATACACACAACACCCATGGTCTGTGTAATCTAATAAGGAGTCAGATCACCCGTCTCCTCTAAGAGAACAACCAGAGCTTCTTTCTGAGCCTACAGAAGAGGAAGAGTACGGTTCGGCTGGTACTGACAAGGGTATCTTCTACGGTTAGATGTTCGGCTGCGTATGTGTGTTCTCCCTGTGTGCTGCCCCAGCTCTGTGAAGACAGCCGGCACAGCAGACCTTTAGCGAACCACGCAATGACCACAAGATCCGTTAAGGTCTGAAGGCACCAGGCCAGGATTATTGTCGACAAACCACAGTGATAGCACCTGGTAGACTCTACGAGGAAACTAAAACATGTATGCCAGTGACAATGGACGCAGCTCAGTGGATGGCGGGACTTTCCATTTCCCCCCTCAGCTGGACCAAGACACGCTCTCTGAGAGATCTCTCTAGACCCTGATACAAACAAGTTTCGTGCTGCCCCCCTGACATAGTTACTGCTCCCTGATGTGGCTAGTTATCACCCATCTCCTTGTACATGTTGGTTCGATTTAAAACATCTCTATTCATCACACTGTCATCCTGACCGTCTCTTTTAGGAGGGGTCAGTGTGTTCCTGTTATCCTTGGGGAATGTTTTTGTACCATCCTTGATATCGAAGATGTTCTGGTACCACTTGATATCGGGATGTGTTTGCCTGAGTACTCTGTGCCTAGCACTTCTTAGGAATGTGTGTTTCTGCAATATCAGCCCTGTTCTTGCCAGATTCTGTGAACTCGCAAGCAGGCAGAGCCTGATGTTTGCTTACAGCCTCACTTTTGCTAACTTTGCTTTATATCAGCAAAGCTTGCCCACTACTTTAGCTCAGGCCTCATACCAAGCCTCTGACACAAGGGCTTATATCTCAGGCTCTCTTCCTACTACATCTTCCTCATGATTATATCGACCAGTGAGAATGCACCTTTCTTCAGAAAATAATTGAAGTACAAGTGGAAAAGTAGATTAAAATCAATGACTTAAATGGAGGATTTCTACTTGGTGATTTTAAATCATGATTTAAATCAATCCCCCGTCACCTTGTAGTTTTAAAAATAAGAATGTGGCTCATGCTATATGTTGGAACTATCTTTTCAGTAGCCATTCTTTGTACCAGTTGTTGGCAATGCTGTTGATATTGTATGTTTAATTTTAGTGCTTAGGTGCTATGGTAAAAGGGAGCTGTATAAATATCAGAGGGGGAGAATCAGAGCTGAGTGGAAAACTTTTCAGTCTTCAAGAGGAAAAAACCAAAAAAAGCTTTTAAAAGTGTTTGAAAATATTTCCTGTTTTACTGACTAGCTGGTGTAATCAGTTAAAAAATGTTTCTTGGTCTCAGCAGAACAACAGTAATAGAACGCACTTCTCTCTGTATGTGGTAAAAATACCTTAGGGCAAACAGAGCATCTAGTCTTGATTCATTTTAACTTTAATAGTTATTCTACATATAACAAATTACAAACTTACTCTTTGGGAATATTGTCTCAATTGTTTCTGTATTTCCCACTGCAGGAGTGGGATCATGAGCTGAAAGCTCTCCTAGAAGATATGAAAGACAAATCTGGTAACTTAAAGAAACGATGCCCAGATCGCAAGACTGAAGCTGGCGCTGCCTATAGCCGTGTGAAAGCTGTATATGGGACGATAGCAGAACTTCCAAAGCTGATGGAGATGAAGGAGGTGACTCAGCATCTTGGGACAGTAAAGCACATCTCTGCAGAGAAGGTAAACACAGCATGATTTGACGTGTGACCTTCCTACATCTTCACCCGTTCAGGCTATTTCACATTGATATAGATGATAAATGGAGTAGCTCAGCCTATTGCCTGTAGTGAACCTTACTCTTCTTTTCTCTCCATTGCTTAGGCAGCAGATTTCCGCACCAAAATAGAGAAATTCATTGACTCTCGGACTGATAACTTACGCGACATGAAAGGTGGAGAATTTTGGCCCGTTGTTAAATGTGTCAAAATCCGTGTTCCCGGTGCTGATGTCTTGAAGACTGGGGCAGTGCTGGTGGATTTGCCTGGAATACGAGATTCCAATGCTGCCAGGGATAATGCTGCCAAAGAGGTAAAATGGCATCTCTGAAATTGCAGCCCTTTTAAGGCTGTGGTTTGTTTTGTTTTGTTTTTTAAACCCTTGTGTCCCTTCTGGTTCTCAGACCCTGATCTGCATTGGAAACAGCATCTTCCTCCTTAACTGCTATATAATGCTTTTGCACATATCATGTCATTCAATATGCATTGAGAGCATGAGCAACCTCTTCCCTTTTCCCCTGGTTTTCAAACATAACTATTTGCAACACCATGTAATTAATGTGTGACACTTGCTGCTGCATGATGCCATAGTGACAAGCTGATTACTAAAACTCTAGGATTCTATGGATAAGTGGCATCCACAGCTGCACTAATTAGGATAAAATTACAAGTGCTATCCACCTTTGTGCTTCAGGGCATATACTGATTGTTATTTGAGGTCTGTAAATAATCACCATAGATGTTATCATATTGCACACTGTAGCACAGGGGTGGGCAAACTTTTTTTGGCCCAAGGGCCACATCGGGATGCGAAACCGTATGAAGGGCTGGATAGGGAAAGCTGTGCCTCCTCAAACAGCCTGGCCCCCGCCCCCATCCGCCCCCTCTCACTTCCCCGACTGCCCCCCTCAGAACCCCTGACCCATCCACCCCCCCTTGTCCTCTGACACCCCCCCCCGAACCTCCACCCCATCCAACTGCTCTCTGTTCCCTAACTGCCCCCCCCGGACCTCCAAGGGCTGGCTTTTAACCCTTTCAGGGCCGGAGCAGAGTGACCACCCCACTACACACACTTAGGTGCCCTGAGGACATTTACCCCTCCCTTAGAAGGATGGATTGCTATTAGGGACTGATCATAGTACTAGATAGACCATTGATCAGTTCTCCTATAGCAATATAATGGCAGAGTTCTTTTTTGGAATTGATGTTTTACACTCAGGCCCTCTTCACAGTACAAGCGAGTTTTTGTAAGCAGCTGGAAGAACTGTTAACCAGTCAGAAGTAACACAGCTGTGTTTGTGTCTATGCAGACTTTTTCTGCCATTGCAATCCCTTTTGGTACATCTCAATCAGCAACACTGCTAAATTGTGTTTGAATTAATACATTCTGCGAAAATCTGGGCAACTGTCTTATAGTGTCTCAGTAGGTTACAGAGTGCAAAAAAAACCTGATTAACATTAAATTTGGAAAATGGTTCACCACTGTTAGACACATGTAACTGTTATATAGCAACTCTGAAAGCCTCGGCACGTAAATAGATTTGGAATTCTTTTCTTTTGCATTATCCATCTGGAGCTTCCACTTAATATTTCTAAGGGCTTGTCTCAACTTACCAGGGGATCGATTTAGCGAAGACCCGCTAAATCGACCACCGATTGCTCTCCCATTGACTCCAGTACTCCACTGGAACAAGAAGCATAAGGTAAGTCGACGGGAGAGTTTCTCCCGTCAACCTAGTGCGGTGTAGACACTGCAATAAGTTGACCTAAG